ATGCGTCGTGTGCTTAGCTTCAAGAAAACACACGTGAACGCGCAAGCCGTGCAGGGTGACACGCTGCAACTGTTTGACGCCTGGACAACTCTCTGCACTACTTTGCGTGGAGGATCACTTGCCCAAGGACTTGCAGGAGTGAGCAGCCGTTGGGTGTTCAGTGAATTGACGTGAGTCGTGGTTTCCACATAAGAACCAATGTGTCAAAACATGTTTTGACCCCCAAAAAAGACATGGGATGGGCTGAACTCCCTGGACGACTAATTACTAATTGATTATTCACATCTATTCCCTTCAAGACCATGGGCGTTTGAAGAAAAGGCCAGAACACTCGAAGCCCAGGAAGTCTTTGTAGGTGGCGAGGCCTTGCCCCTGGCAACCGCTCGAAGCTGGCTGCAAAAGTGGCCTCGCGCAGCTTGTCTGTCGTGCTCCTTTTTCTTCAGTCCGTTTTCGTGTCAATTGGGGTCTTCGGGGTTTTCGTTTGTCGTCTTTGCAGCGTTCGTCCAGTTGTTGGGGCTGTTTTTCAGTTCAAGAACTTCGCCAGCAGAGTGCAAAGGGACCCTTTGCTTACTGTCTTGTAGGGAGAACCTGGGACTTCAGCTTTGGCAATCAGGTCAGATTGATCTTGAATTATGCGACCACGGAGACAGCAATTTGGAAGCACAAGAGCCACAACACACTTCTCAATGGACATGTAGAGGCAAAGAACACTATAACACCGTGTTCTGCTGCATATTTTCTGCCTTTGAAACAGGTTCTTTCTGCTGTTTGTTACGATCATCGACTGTGAGGAGTTCAATTACTAGCAGTCTATTCTTTGTCACAATAACAGCAAGGCTGATTGTTTCGTTTGACAGGGGCTACTTTACATGCGGTTACCCATCGTGGCCGGTCTTAGGCTGCTGATATGGCATTCCTCCCAATCACAGAGGAGATTGCAAGTTTTTTGGCATGTGACAGGTTTTGGACATTCTGTTTTGAGTTCTTTGACCTTTTTTTCATTCTCTACCTTCGGCATGTTGTCATGCGTCCTTTTGCCTGTTCAGGTTTAGAGATGCCCTTTGCTCCCTTGAGCACCCAAATTGTTTGTTGGAACAACCAGATGACCGTTGAGAACGAGGCCTGGCAGTGCCTCCATGAGTTGTGTGAGTCGCATGTATGGGTTCTTCCAGATGCAAAAGCAGAAATAGCTTGTTCTTTACAGAACGTGCTTCCCTCACTTTTTTTGCCTTTTTATTTTCACTCACATGTTACAGGAGCTCGTGGTTTCTGGATGGAATGTTGCGGATGCTTACCTGCCCCCAACGGCGTCCCTTTCTCAGCGAAGCCAAGAACGTCAGCAGAAATGAACACTCGGTGGGCTTTCAGGTCTTCTGCATTCAGAAGGAACGCGGATGGTCTGAGCAACAGCTACCGAACTGGCCACTTGCCACAAAGCGTTCTCTTCTTTTTTTTTGCTTTCCCTCCCTATATCCCCTTTTTTGTTTGTGCTAAGTTCAGTGAACTGGATGAGGCTTTGTACGTGTTTCTTCTCAAACTCAGTTCACATCCAGTTCTTCAGAGATGGGTGGACGTCGAGACATCCATCGCATCTTTTTCTCTGAGGTGACAGAGCCCAAATCAGAGATGGGCACATTTTCATTCTGGGCAGACTCGACAAGGCCGGGCTGTGACGACTCGACAAGTAATCCGAACTGAACGCACTGCAGATATTTGTTCAAAACGAGAGAAAGTAAGAAAAACAGAACATGTTTCAAGATGTTTCAAACCAAGAGGTTTTAAGACTCCACAACGAAGGCGTGAGAACTGATTCTGAGGTCGTGAAGATTCGTGGATTTCGTGTAGACACAGATGGTTTGGAGTCTTTATTGATGAAGGCACCTGGAATTAAAGCTTCTCGGCATAGATTGCTCATGCTCACAACCCAAACATCTCTATTTGTTTTCCAAAAGCTGAACTTTCTAGTAACAAGTGCATCGCTATGAATAGCTAATTTGCTACTAGTAGCCTGTAGCTACTCGTAACAAGGGTTTCTTGTTTCTTTTAGAGACGTGGAATTGTGGCTTGGGTGCTACAGTCTGTCCAACTCCTTGATAGACTTCGATGGATTCGATGGGGAAATTGGGGTCTTCTTCCACAAATGCGGCACCCAGGCAATCTGCGTCAGAAAGTTTGAGGAGAGCTTGTATGCCGTGATCTCCACTCTTGACCTGGAGACCGTTAAGACTTTTGCCAAGGACGGGCACTACGCTTACTTGCGGCTCCATGCAAAGGGTAGACCACTTGAGCTGCTGTTTACTCATGAGTGATGAATCTACTCAAGGAAGTCGGTTTCGACAGCTGACAGCATCATGCTCACCGCAGGAGAACTACGAACATTCACATCTTCTTGCTCCTGAGCGAAAAATGTCTTGAATTCATTGACGCTTTTCGCAACCGCATCTTCAAAGTGTCACAGCATTTGCAAGCTCGTTTCCTATATACGGAATATACTCAGGTTTGGATTTCCGTCTCCTGGAAAGCACTTGAGTACTCTTGAGTCATATGCATTGGCCACATCTTAACGTTTTGTTTGAGTCGTTGTGGGCTGTCAGTTGACTTGACATGTTCCAGGTCGATGCCTTGCCAATGACGAAGTCTGGCAAGAAAGACATCGCAGCCATCACGTGCCCTGGACGCTTCACAACAACACTCTTTTCACCTTCGATTTTCAGGGTGTCTCGTGGAATTTGCGTGAGAGGAGGGTCAGGATGTTGACTGTTGACTTTCTGGTGTTGACGAGGCAGATCTTGGAGAAACGTTCGCAGCAGAACGATGAGGTACGAGTCGATGAGTAAGCTTGTGCAAGAAGGGAGCTCTGTCAAGAATCAGTGAACCATAGTGAAACTTCCAGGACCATCCTTTTTGGGTGTCCAGGATCTCCATTTGACCCGTTAGATGGTCCGTCCTTCCTCGGTGCCGTTGGGACGATCTGTCGACGATCGTCTCGTGATGTTGTTAGGTCATGGAGTACTATGGCGAGGAAGAGCATCGCGTGGCTGCTGCCTACAAAGAGGTCAGTGACATGGAATCGCCCAGCCAAGAAAGGAAGTACTTTGGAGGACGCAGTGAAGTAGACTCAGTGAGTAGTGAAACGCTTGTGACTCCGACTCCAGATTTCATTTCACAGTTTTCCACCTCTGTCTCGTGTCTTTGGTCAGGTGCTTGGTCGGGACATCCACCGAGAGATGCCCTTCGTCGAGGCGGGATGGTTGCTGGCATCGTCGGCATCGATTCGCGTCGGTCGAACCACGTGCACGGCCGGGAAGGCTGGAGGCCACTCCTTGTTTGCAATGAGGACCATTCAGCATCAGCCAGCGTGCTAAATTACTAAGTTGGCCTGTTCCGCATCAATCATCAGTGATTTCATGTGCAGGATTGCCAAGCTCCTGGGGATTTCGCCTGTGGAGCTCTTCAAATTTCCCACAATCGCCTCCCTGGCCAAGTCGCTCGAGCCCTCCGAGGTGGCTTCAGCCACCGCGCGCATAAAAAACGACCCTGAACCGCGGGTATGTGGACGAATGCTGGATGATCCGAGTCACTTGCAGGTGGCGGTGAAGCAGGTTGCCAGTGGTGTCATCAGTTTGCCACGGGTGCCGCAGGCATCGAGCGGAGTCTTGGCAAGTAGAACTGATGGCGAAGACTTTTCGACGAAGCTGTGCAAAGGTGAGAGGTACAATGGTGAAGTCGGTACCGTTTGATGTCATCTTGTCCAACTTGTTGTTTGAATATCGCTGCATTCCGCAGAGGAGTCAACGGTTGAAAACGACCGTGCCACTCTTTAGGCCCATTGGCAATGGTTGGTTTGGCGTGCCGCCTGCCGCATGCAACCTCAACGGAGCAGTTTCTGGACTCATTGCAGGCATGTGGGGGATAATATGGTCCTTTGAAGAATATTCATCAAATGAACCCCGGCAGACAGTGACAGAGTTGCATGACTTTCAAGATCACCTCCGAACACCCTGCCCCAATTCACGCCCCGTTTCACTGCTTCTGCGGACCCGCCGGTGACCGCGTAGGCTGGTCACCTCATGACGACAGAGCTGCCGGCGCTGCCTGGGCAGATTCCACGCAAAGGCCCGGCTCCAACCGCCGCACAAACCGCTCGTACCGCGTGGGTCATGCGATGCCCGGCATGCGTGACCCGCAAAAACGCGGTCCGGTACGAGACGTTCAGCGCGGAACGCCGCGAGTTCGCCGAGACCTCGGTGTGAAGTTTCGGCGTTGGAGTGGTGTTTTCAGGCGTGGTGCCGGACTTGGGCTTTGACTGTCACTTTTGGAAGTGTACGGAGCAAGCAGCGGCGACTGGGCAGAAGGAAGAATTACGGTGTCACAGAGACTCGTTTGGATTGGACGGTCTATTCAGGTTTATCGCATCTGGGTGTCTTAGAATTTTTGTTATTGGCTGGAACATGTATTACATGTTATGAACATGTTATTTTTCTCGCTTCGTCGGTTATGAACACCGCATGGTGTGTTTCATCGCGAGGCCATGATGGACACCGCACAGCGTGCGCTCTTGGAGATCTCCTATGAGGCTTTCCATGGCTCCAACTTCTCGGCACAGCTTCGTGATGGACAACTGCGAGGTTGGGGAATTTCATAGGGATTCCGATGATTACTGTACAGTACATTTTTTCGTGTAAGTGTGTGTAGCGAGGTCTTGAGGTCTGCCGGGGTTCTTTCTTGGGATCCCGATGTGGGCACCCCGAGCCCGGTGTTGGGGGAGATGCAAAGGAGGAGCGAGTCTCGGGGATGCAAAGGACCCACAGGCCTAGTCTGGTGGTCCATGTTGCACCCAGGTATAGATCTTCCAGAAAGGAATGCAGCCGTGATCGTGTGTGGAGGCGCGAGCTGTGAGACTTCCAACCGCTTCGACTGCGAAGCGGGGGAGTGTTTTGCCGTGAGGCTCTCTGAATCACTGGCCCTTGCAGCTCGTGGACCTGGAGGAATCTCGCACCATGCGTCCAGATGAGTACTTCAATTGGGAGGTCCGGCTTTGGGTCTTGATCCGCTAACAACACGAAGGATCTGCCATGATTTGGTCCTTTAGCTGCTCAAGCTTGGCGAGGTTGGCACCGACAAGGACTATTTGGCCTCGAGCATTGCCTACCGTTTCGATTTGCATGGGACAGCTGAGGCAGGGCCCTGCTTCATGAAGTCTCGACTTCATCAGCATGAGATTTCCACCTCTCCCCAACGTCCAAACGAAGCTTGCTTGAAGCCCACAGGTGGTGCAAACCGCGTGCAGTTCAGCACTCGTGGCCATTTCGCGCGCCGCCTGGACCTCGGCGGTTCCGTCGCCTGCGCAAGCGTTCCGACCGTTGTGACCGTTACGCGGGGCGAGGTCCAACTCCTGAAGGCGGGACACTGCGTTCCTTGGCTTGAAGATGTTTGAAGCACCTGGAGCCCCGGAGTTGCTGTTGGCTGTTGATGGTTCACAAAGCACATAATTTATGATGTGTTTATATAACCATCCAGGCAGCAAGGGGTCCATTCACCAAAAAGTCAACATTGACTGGGAGGGCCACGGGATAACGGTTGTGGTGCATGCTCCATTTCGCGTTGAAGAATGACGATGGCTGTAGATGATCTCAGGACTATGCGCTTTGCGGTGGCGCATCATTCTCTCCAGATGCGCCTATTGCGGCTGTGGATGGATTGATTTGGGCACCAGATGGAGCAGCTTGAGCTGAAGATGGCTGAAGAATTGAGACAGGATCTTTGGACCTGATTCTTCAAAGAGGCCTTTTGATATCCCAGTTTGAGGTCACTTGGGCCTCAAAAGGGCACTTAGGGGCTCCAAAAAGGTCACTTTGAAGAAGCAGGTGCATCAGGTTTCACTAACCTGTTTGGGAATTGAACAGCTGCCTATAGCTACAGACGGCCGTTGGTTGGTGCAGCTTGGGTTCCAGGTATGCCGACCCTACGCCGAGGGTGCCAATGGCACTACAAACGCCGATGGTGGTGGAATTGCCACATGGATTGATTCTTCTGTTTTTGCATGGACTTTGCTGAATGGGAGTTTTTTTTGCAGCGCCAATTGAAAACGGGATTGTTCACAATAAGGGGACACTGGAAGTGCTTCGGAGGGGAGGGAGTTCCACTTCCAGTTGCATGGTCCTGCCCAAACAGATGCGCGATGGTGCTAAGGTGATTTTGTCACGTGCAGCTGCTGCTGTGAGCCACGGCCATTTGGCCCATGCTCATGTGTTGGGCCAGATCCCCAGTGATGTGGAGAGCGTCAACTGCGGTTTTCGCGTCTTGGAAACAGAAAACAGACGAACTGTGAAGAACATGGGAAGAGGAAACATAGATAGCTACCACATGCAGTGGCTGGAGGCTGGGTGCATATTCTGACACACACACACCCCCTATGTTATGTTGGAATTCCAAAAATCACTTCCATTCATTTCCATGATTCCCTTTTTGGGAGTTGCTTTCGGTGTTTGTGTTTTGACACAAATCTTCAGAGCACTTGGTGCGTTTGGTGACTTCTTCTGGCGCATGTGGAGCCACGATTTCTTCATTGTATGCAACTTGCATTGTTTCCTGGAAAGACCTTCATGCGGAAGATGAGCGTGATAGACA